CACTTTGCACCGCTATTCCACCATATTTCACACTAGTTTAGCACTATACACCACTATTCCACTATTTTGCACTCTACTTTTAACACTTTGCACCACAATTCCACTAGTTTGCACTCTAGTTACGCACTTTGCATCACTTTTCCACCACTTTCCACTCTAGTTGTGCTCTTTGTATCACTATTCCATTACATTGCTGTTTGGTTGCACACTTTGCACAACTATTTAACCACTTTCTACTCTAGTTTTGCTTTTTGCATCTCTATTACACTTTTTCACTCTATTTTCACATTTTGCACTACTACCTTGCACTCCAGTTACTAAGCACCCCTGTTGCCCTTTTTTGTACTGTAGTTGCACACTTTGTATCAATATTCCACTACTTTGCACTCCAGTTTCACACTTTGCACCACTATTCCACTACCTTGTACTAACGTGTCCCACTTTTCACCGTTATTCCATTACTTTGCCATTTTTCTTCTTGCATCACTACTCCACTACATAGTTTCACAATTTGCACCACTATTCCATTACTTTGTATACGCTCGTCCGAGAAGGAGATAAATGATGAAAAAATAACAAAAAACGAAGAAGACCGGTTTACGACAATCAAATTTCCATCAAACTAACTTAGTTACTATTAACTTATTACTTAGAACTATCATTCACATTGACATATTTTTTAAGTTGTTAGTAAATTATGATGCTGTTTACCTTTGCAATTTGTTTTTCGTCATAATAAATTTACGATGATTCGCAATAATTTTACTAGATACTAGTCGAATTCCTCAAAAAGTATTTCTATACTCAAGAAATGCATTTTTCCATAATACTGGTTGAATAAAAAAAATATCTCCTGTACTGCCCATGTTCATTAAAATTGCACTTTTGCATAATACTGTACCAAGCAAAATATCACACATATTTGTCTTTACCATTTAATAAGTACATAGGATGTCCTTGTGCATTCAAATACTAGAAATGTATTTCTAATTAATGTAGTTGAATACAGCTTGAATATAGAACGAATCAATCAACTTACTACGTATGTCGTATAAATTTA